AGAAATACACATTGTACTTGAAAACTGAATGGCCATGTCTGTTGGGGAATTTTGCAATGAATGCTCCAGTGGATGAATTGTTTGGTTTGATGAACGCCAAAGTGTCAACCAGCGCATCCAGTTCCACAAGTTTGGATGGCATTGGAATTGTTTTCACAGGAATCAAATGCTTTGCAAATATTTTACCCTCCTGATGACGTTGAACAGGAGCTACAGCTGTACAATATTTTTGTTTTTTAGATGTACAAAGTAGGTGATTGATCCAATTTTCTTGAAACAGTTCTCTTCATACATTACAATGCTACATTGTCTTTTTTGCCTTCCTTAGTAGCATTTTGCATAGAACCTTTTCCCGCCTCTTACCACTCTGTCTACCTTTCTGATATCTTCAAGGTTTTCTACTTGAACATGTTGAGGTCTTCGATGATGTACGCCTCTATATCGCCTGGCTTGAACTCCTTGGAGGCACCAGCACATGAACAATTGTCAGCCTTGATGGAAACTTTCCAGGAAGTGTTATGTCCTGGGAGTATACCCTTTTGTCGTATACAAGACTGGCTTGTCTGCAGCGCATGACTTGCTGGAGCACTGATCCTGTGCCATGAACAGCTTGCAGTAGCATAGCATTGGCGTCTTTTAATGGGAAGCATCTGCATGACCATTTTGGGCCCCACATACGAACATACAGCACCAAGTGAGCTCCCGGCATTGTGGACATTAAGACCACAGGTATCCTGTCCTTACAACTCTATGAAGGTCAGCTCTGTTCAAGTCCTGTTGACTAATGGAATCTCCAAGAAGAATATATATATACCTTCTGACAAGCAAGCAAGGTTAAGCAGATATGGTTCTTTCAGAAATCCATTTGAACATGCAATTCAGTGGCCTTTAGGTTGCTAAAGTGTTTTTCCAGATTTCTTGGAAGTCTCTCAATAGCTACAGGGGGTTTATTGTCTGCAGCCTTTGGGAGATTTCCTTATATCTTTTCCCCCAAAATATGCCAGATGGAGCAAGCCACTTATTAAGCAGGGTTTTAACAATGACTAACAGAATGCTGTGCATGTAATCTGGAACAATACCTTGCACTTAGTCAAAAGCAAAGGGCATTCAAACCAGATGTATCTCTAAATCCTTTGTTCTGATGTCTGTCAGTTGCACTATCCATGCAATTCCAAACACCTTCTACAGTTCTCTGTGGGTGGCGACCATCTTCTTCACGATAAGGAAAGCATCTGGATGTCCCTTCGCCCTGTTTGACTTGCACTCCAGGTTCCTCACAACTTATGCAGGCATTGCATCCATTGAACAGAGTCATGTCAAGAAGTGCTGCCTTGGCCGGAAGATTGCTATTCCACATGTAATTGCCAGTTTGACATTTACAGCTCCCTTTTCACATGGTAGATCAATGCCTTCATGGTACAAAGAATTCATTTCCTGGGTAAAGCATTGCATATACTGTCTATAAGGTGGCTTTCCTTTCTCCTGCCAGATTGCCACGAATAGCATGTTGTCTCTGGCAAACCTCAACTCAGGACTCAGTTCATTTATTGCCAAGAATATTGGCTCAGTTTTAGAAGAAGAATACAAGTTTACAGCATCTGTATTTAAAACAACAGTGAGATTCTGACTATGATTATTTGCCATAAACCCCTCATCATTGTACGTCTGTTGGTAGCATGACCCATCAGATATATCACTGATGACATCTGGATTCCAACAGGAAGTGGTAGCCTTGTATCTCTGGATGTCATTCCATATTCCTACAACAGATACAAACTGTTTTGTAACCATTGTAACTGTTGCAGACACAACACAACAGCATTGACCTAAAACATTATCAGGGCTGGGAATTAACTTTCATCTTACTTAGCCCACCAGACTAGTTAAACTTTCCTAGCATAGATTATCCTAGCATAGATTAACCCCTAAAAAAAATAGAGACAGCTTGATGCCTCTGTGATAATTCAAACTGTGTTTCAGTAAGGTAATTTTCAGTAAGGTAAAGTGTGGTATGAGGTAAGCAGCCAGAGTTACCGCTCTTGGCTGTAGTGGGGCCCTGTAGGGGTGGTCTCACAAGACAAAACCAAGTCTTTTGTTTTGTAAAATATTTCATTGAAATATTGTAGTAGGCAATTAAAATGGACATTTTAATGCTTATATGTACCCCAAGGAGGACTTCTTCTGAAAAAGAATTAGTATTTTTCACGTGATACACTGAAGAGATAAAGAACAGTCTGCTTCGCATGCCACATAGCACAGTAGGCACTCAAATCCACAGAACAGTGGGCTGTGAGATTATAGACTGATAACTTATGTCTGTAAAAGAAACTTGAGATATTCGCCCTTGTGTAACTTACAATATTCAGTAAGTCAAAACACTCAATAGCCAAGCCATTCTCTCTGTCAATGTTTCTTTGAAGTCGAGTTGCGTCTTTCGAGTCCCTATGCTGAATATAATCTGGTTCCATAGCCTCTGTGACAAGATTATGACTGGGCTATTCTATATTCCTCACACTTGTCACATCGATCCTCTTTTGGTTTCACAAAATCCATGTTGAATTCTCATTTGAAAATTGGCCTGAATATATGAAGTTTTACAGGTTCATCGTCTGTTTTTTCGCAATTCTCAAGATGATGGTGATAAATCTTGTTCAGCATCAACTTATTAACTGTTCATCAATAACATTTGAATAAACTATAGACATATGAATTGATCTACTTAACAGAGTAATGCCTGCTAGGACCTCTTATTCATGCCACTTGCTGTGACACTGGACAAAGGCTTTGGCTGTCCTGCTATTTGGCAATTCTTCATTTTCCATAAACCTTCCCAACACTTGGTGGATCCATCTTTCATATTGTAAATGAAATTTGTCCTCTCTTGCTGTACACCCTCCAGCTTGATGTTACAAATGTTCATTCGAACTTCTTACAAGCTGAGATACTGCTTGTCACATCTCCTCTGCCGTGCATTGTCCTCAAATAGGAAGCAACTCCAACTCCACAATGATCCCCATTTTCTTACAAAGGTCACCAGATGAACACCAATGATTTGAACATTTAAACCATGGCTGCCTTCTCCATGATCTTCCTTTGCAAATCTCTGAGATGGAAGAAATTCATTGATGGCCAAAAATATTAGCCAGAGCTTCACCTTGGATGAGTTGTGGAGGGGAACTCCATCAGTATTAAAAACTGTGCCTATATTGTGTGGATTTGCAAGGAACATGCCTTCAACACAAAGTGCTCTTTAGCTATGAACTAGATCAGCAGAATGACCTCACTTTACTCTTTCAGTTCCATCCCATACACCTTTCTTTTGTTAAGATAACCATTTCTATGTTATAGAATGATACAGTTCTTTTATTAAGAACAATCATACTTACATAGTCCAAGAACAATCCATAGGGAATCACACACAATATATTCACAAGTTTATGATAATCACATACTTACGACAAATCCAAGAAAGAGTCCAAGAAAAATTCAAAGAATCACAATGTATATAGTCACATCTCAGAGCTCTTTGCTTGGGCTTGCAGAGTGTTATTGTAAGTGTCTGCCTGTCTCCTTAATGTGAGCTGCTCCATGAACCTCCTATCTTCCGCAAGAGAAGAACTGACATGGCTTCCCTGCCAGCCCGGATAAACTCGCCGAGAGCTGGCCTGAATAGTGGTATTTCCGACATCGTCAGCCAAGCTGGAGTTGCGTTGTGGAGTCGCCAGGTCATCTGCTCCACTTCCATCCTGAGGACGGTCATAAAGCGAGCTCCCAAGATGGCTCCGCTGGCATCTTCATCTCAGACTGGGCCTGGCTGGCAACGAGTGATTGCTTCATCTCAGGCTGGGCCTGGCTGGCAACGAGTGATTGCTTCATCTCAGACTGGGCCTGGCTGGCAACGAGTGATTGCTTCATCTCAGGCTGGGCCTGGCTGGCAACGAGTGATCGCTTCATCTCAGACTGGGCCGGGCTGGCAACGAGTGATTGCTTCATCTCAGGCTGGGCCTGGCTGGCAACGAGTGATCGCTTCATCTCAGACTGGGCCTGGCTGGCAACGAGTGATCGCTTCGAGTGTTCCGGGACCGCTGCCGCTCCTTCTTTGTCTTGAACACCAGGTTTCCAGGGTCGACGAAAGGGCCTCTACCTGAAAGGCCTTCTTCGTAGGCATGCATGGGCTGGAGGGTCGAAGCTGCCTTCACCTTCAGCTTTTCTAGCGTCTCCTTAGCCTACAAAAAGCAAAGAATTATTAACCATTTGGGTCCAACAAACAAACAAAGAATCATTAACCATTTGGTTCCAAACTTTTCCATTTATTAAGCAGCTTACTGAAACACTGTTATAAAATTCGACAAAACTGGCAATCACTGAATAATATTTATACATATATAAGAATTTAAACTCTTACCTTAATATCACTCATGACATTTTGATGATTGTGTTCATCTTTCACCATGGTGACGATGTCATTCGTTGTTGATGCAGTGAATTTGCTGTCTTTTACAGTACATATCCAAGATATCCAGTCTCGTTTTCTCTTGTTGACTCTGTACATGAACCCACCAACAACCAAGTAACGACTGCCGCAAGTTGAAGGGATGAATCTCTGATCTAGCTGTGCATTTGCCATTATGAAATCGAATGTGAATCCATTGGCCATTCCATAGATATTTATTCCAAGGATATGAAAAGTGTTCAATATTGGCACTCTGCTAAGTGTTATTGTAAACTTTTCAATCAATTGGAAGTGACATGTGGGAGATAATTCATGAAGAGTTCATGAACACTTCATAAAGAGTTCATGAAGACTTCCTGAAGAGTTCACGAAGACTTCCTGAAGAGTTCGCGAAGACTTCCTGAAGAGTTCGCGAAGACTTCCTGAAGAGTTCGCGAAGACTTCCTGAAGAGTTCATGAAGACTTCCTGTCTTCCTTTGGACAGTGTTAAAGTGTCTATGTACATGTCATGACCAAATGAAGAATATAAGGATTTTTTTTTTCACCATTGCATAAAGCATAATGCCACCCTTGTTCATAAGGAACCAAAACATTTTCATTCAGAAGATGCTGTAGTCTGAAGGCCCAGTTTACTTTACCACTTTCGAAGTCGTTTAACATCATACTATAACACTTTTTTTACATATTTGTCATCAGGTAACCAAATTAATTAACAGTGAGTAAGTCCTCAATTAATAGAACATACCAAGGATAAAATATTTACTCCAATGAAATAATTACACCAGCAGTCAATGAAAAACTTACGAGGTAGAGAGAGAAGTTATGCCTTACTCAGAAATACTTTAGTTACAGATATTTGTTTTCGCCCTTGAAGCCCTGAGATGTTTTTGTACATTTTGGAATTTTTCTACAAATGTTTTTCTGTCAAGGGCTGGTGACAGGTGCTGGGAAACAACCTGCTCAATACTGTTGACAAGTTTTGGATTGAGTGCTGGTCTTGCTACTTCCTTTGTGAAAACAGACCGCTTCCCAGAAAGTGAGCAGTCACAGAGTTCCTCCTTTGAGAAGACACTCTAAGTCAAAGTTTTTTAATTCTTCCAGACACATCAGTCTTTGGAACATTCTGTAAACTGGCCAAGAGAGTCTTCAAGTCAGGAGAATCTCCATGACTGTTCACTCGATCATCTGGTGCCAGTGATGTTGATGGCAGTGGATCACTTGGAGGCAATATTCTTGGTGTTGGCGACAGCGACGGTAGATGTGGCCTTGGTAATGATAGGAGTGGTGATGTCAAAGGTGATGGCACGAGCTTAGCAACGGTATCACAAGAGTTCAATCTCTCAGCAACCTTCACACTGGAAACTTTCGAGCACACGTTTGAAACGGCAGACAACTCACGATGCAGATCTTCAATGTCAATGTCTGTTGGTTTCAAGGAAATCTCGGATGCTGTAGTATCACACATACTCTCGTGTGTTCTTTCTTCCTCTTCTTGACCTCCTATTTCCATTGGATGTACTGCAGTGATTTCGCCCTGATCATCCATGCATATATATATCCAACAACTCATGGCAATTGTTATTCTCAATCATAATCTAAGCAGGAACATCTTGAATATCTTGGGCAATGTGTCGCTCCAAAAATTCTGTTTGATTTAAAAACAGGTTCTTCTGGCGATATTCTGTCAAAAATCTCAATGCTGTTGCTGGCATTCGAGAGAGTTCACTTGTCACTAATTTCTTTCCATCTGGAGTGACCTCAATCTTGATAGTATTGACATTGCAGGATTTAATCTCATTGAGTATTTGGACCTTTGTTTTCACTGTCACACTATGCCAGAACTGTTTCTGGAGCTCCATCAAAGTAAGTGGTTGACCTTCTCTTGACTGTTGAAGAAGTTTCATAAACTGACCATCGAAGCAAGTTATTGGAATATGAAGGCTGTTGGCATGACAAAAAGTCAGAAAGTCTTCAAGAATATCTCCAACAATGTGTACTAGAAAGCTGTAACCACGAAGAAAGTACCCTACAGGTACACCATGAATCTGGTCTTCAGACCATAGTCTGTCAAGATCCCCAGCAACAAATGTTACCACTTCAGCTGCTTTTTGTCTGGTGGCTTGATACTGTTTTCTCGTAAGGGAAAGTGCATCCTCAGATACATCAATTATACAGGTCTTGAGGTTATGGAAAGAGGAATGTATCAAAGATCTCCTGTCAATGTCTCTGTCAAGTTGTCATCACAGGAATGTAGAAACTTGAACTCGCAAAGGACCTGAGCATTCCGATGTATACCTTCCTTTATTTTTGCCTTCAAATTCTTACTTTTGATGTCAAACGTGAAGGACATTTCTTCACATGTTTCCCAAAAGTTGAGGAAAGAATGTTCAGCGCTAAATTTCACACTGCATCGTCCCTTTTGACAAGAAAAACTCTTGTACTTTGCGGTGTCCATGAAACAAAATGACAAGTATCAACATTCAAAGCCACCATTTCTGCTTGGATCTGCAGATAGTACCTGTCAGGGACTTGTTGGTGTAGTCCAGCACTGAAGGGACACTTTATTACTATTGCTGCCACGTGACTAGAATATCCTGGTTTGTAGAGTAACCCATCTGGTGAAATGATGAGATCTAGAGAAGCAGTCTCATAATGGATACCTCCTGTTTCCTTAACAATACAGTCAGGAAAGGAACATGGTACAACTTTGGAGCAATATGTTGCAAGAGCACATACCTCATGCTTCTTTCCATGATTCATGGCTGCTATTGTGGTGTCACTGAAGGTTTTCTTTGCCTTGCCCCTTTTTTCATGGAAGTATAATTTCTGAGCACTTAGTCCATCACACCCAACTGCATCCCAGAGGCGTCTCCCTGTGGCAGATGCCTTTTCTCGAGCGTTAAACCAGGCTTCTGTCCCTTGCTTTGGTTCAATAGCATTGTGTTCCAAGGGAATGAACTTGCAGCTAGAAATCAACAGGTGAATTGTCTGAGGCCAGGTATTCTGATGCAGAATGGCACATGTTTCACCCAGGGTTTCCCTGCACCGATTGTTCCTCTTCCTGATGTCATCTAGTTCGAGCAAAAGGGCTGTAAGCATGTTTATAGCATAAGCATATTTTGACTGGACAAAATTATCACCTCCTCTTTGTTTAAGCTTTTCCACAGAATACCGCTTTTTCTCTATTAATTGCTCCAGACTGTTTTTATTTTCAGCGAGAAGGGTGATGACAGCTGTCATACTCTTTGAAATATGGTCACAATCGCCAAGATTTGCCGCTTTAGTTATCACAGATTCCATTAAATCCCTGATCTTCTGGTGGTCTGTGTCATAATCCCTGATCTTCTGGTGGTCTGTGTCATGCTGCTGGTGCCTTTTGTCCACAGTGAGCCCATCAGTTTCCTTACCAACAAGGTCAATGTCCCCCTTCTGGTCCTTCAGACCTGGTGCAAGCTTTTCTCCATCAAACAAAAGGCAAATGCTTGTCTGTGAGTGCTTCATTTCAAATCTGTTCACAACTTCTTCACAAATGCCTGAAGGAATTTTTCTTGGCCAGTTTCCATTCCAGGTCATGATGTTTCAAAACATCTTCAGATGGAATTGAAAGAATCAGATTTGCATCTGAACCTGACAAATATCCTGGCTCAGCCTGACCAGAGAGCAATGACCTAATCAATTTCCATCCTGTTAAGGCACGAATAGCTGCACCGCCAAATTTTTCCGTAAAAACTTTCCAAAATGTTTGAGAAAATCTAATGGAAGTAAAGGAATCAGATCCAAAGGCCTTGATAGTGTCCCAAAATAACTCAAATGTTATTCCATGGAGAGCCATTTTTTCATTAGCAATAATTCTTGTTAGTTCAAAAATAACATTTGGCTTGCTTTCATTTGACAGTTTTGATGATGCTAATTTGTACAAGTCCAGGAATTCTGTATCATCTTGACTTATAACACCACAGTCAGTACTCTTTGCTTTACCACATATGTGGCCGTGTGAGTGTTGGACAGGATACTATCCCCTGGAAGCTTTCCACACCCTGTACATAATGTGTCAAAATGGTGGCTGTTATCACACTCAATAGATTGATTGAAACTAGTGTCCCAGTTTTCACAGTCATCACAAAGCTCCTGTGTCTTACTGCAAATGTGGTTCAATGGTGATGAAAGGCTGTTCAGCAAGTGGCCAGAGAAATCTCTTTTTGATGGTGTGCTATTGAATATGGGTTTGCATATTTTCTTCTTGGAAGGAGGTCCTGTGTCAACCAGTTCACCCATCTGAAAGCGAAGAATATTCTTATGAGAAAATGCAAAAAACTACTTAAAAGTTCACATTGATAATGACTACAAAATATAGACTACAAAGTATAGACTCTTAAAAGTTGTTTGGTTTGGAACTTAATAACATTTTATTAATATGGCAAAAAGGGGGGTGCAACATCTATCATGCATGCTAGAGGGTATTTAACATTGTTCACTATTTACATGTACAAAAATTAAGTAGACACATGAATATTGCGTACTACCGGTGGAGTGAGCGCAGTAAGACAGGCCAAGTAACCTGCCCATTACTGGCCCATCCACTAACCCCATAATAAGCAAGCCAGGGGCGATGCCTCCATTACTTATTGTACTAGGACTACTACTACAGCTAGTAGACACCAGCACTGATACAAGCTAAAAAACATACTAAAGCTGGAGTGATCGCAGTAAGCCAGGCCAATCTTGACTGCCCATTACTGGCCCCTCCACTAATATGAGAATAAGTAAACCAGGGTGATGCCCCCCTTTACTTATTGTTAAAAGACTGAAGATTTACACTGCACTACTGATACTACTAACACTAGTAATGCTGGAGTGAGTACAGTAAGTCAAGTAGATCTGGGCTGCCCATTACTGGCCCATCCATTGACAGAATGGTAGGTACTTATGGGTGAAGCCCTCTATTGCATGCAGCCAGTAGAGTAGACAGGTAAGTGTTACCCCTACTGTTGCATTGCCAGATAGCACATAGTAAAAACATGACAGGTATACCGATATGAATATAACAAGTATATACATTATACCACGTAAGTACAAAAAACGGTTTTGGGTGGCAAGCTAATATGATTTAGCTTCCCAAAAAGGAGGCTTGCTAAAAAATTTGAGGTTGAGCCCAGAAACACTTTGGGGAGCAGAGCCGAGTGCCGCCCAAAAATAGGTTAATAATGACACATATCGAGTTGAGCAGCTTTTAGTGTAGCCAAAGAGGTATGAATATACCATGTGTACGCCATAGATGACCATCGCCCCAACGTTTAGATGAGATGGCCTGATGAAGTAGCTTGCACTGACAATTAGCCCTTCCGTTCCGAATGATGTGCACGGTAGCCAGGTTATCACAGTTGAACATAACATGCTTCCTATGCCACATATGACCCCACACAATTACACACACCATGATGGGATAGAGCTCCAGTAATGCTAAGGAACGATTGGAGTTCAGCAAGTCTGGTAGCCAAGAGGAGCTGAATCACTGACCCTGGTAGTAACCTCCAAACCCCTTGGTGCTTGACACGTCTGTGAACTGTGTTCATATCTGCTGTCAACGATATCTCCCGTTCGAAAAAGAGAGACACCCCATTCCATTGGGACAGGGAAAACAACCACATATACAGGTCAGTCCTAGTGTCCTGATTGATGTGCACAAAATGGGAGAGCTGCTTGACTAAAGTTGAGAACAGTATCAAACGAGACACAAAGGATCGGCCCGGGAGCACCACTCTCAAAGCAAGCTGCATGTGTCCAAGTAACGGTAGTAATTGCCTGTTCATAGATGATTTGCGCTCTAGAAAATACCTGATTTCTTGACAAATATGGTCCACTTTGTTTGGGGGGAGCCACACTTGCATCTGACACGAGTCTAAGATGATGCCAAGATATTCTAGACAATGAGTGGGGCCCAAAGTTTTCTTCTGAGACAGCAGCACCCCTTACATGTCGAACACTTTAAACATTGTAGTCATTGTGTTGCTACCATCACAGTGCCGCCCATCAACCACCTGGAAGTCGTCCAGTAAGTGCAGGATGTGCTGCACGCCAAATACGTTCTCTGCGATCCATAAGATTGCTGCGGACAGATAGTCCATAAGTGGACACCATTTCCGCAATTCTTGCTTGATAAGCCTGTAGCTCTGCTCGTCTGTCAGGGTCTGTCTTGCAAAGTACAGACATGTATCGTCCAAAAGCAACATGAAATTCATTAATTGTCAGTGATTTCAGCAGCTTGGCTGACTGTGGGCCCTTGATACGGTTTTCATTACCATCCACATCTGCTACTGCCTGAAAATCGTTATCTTGGTGATGGTCGTTTAACAATAGCGCAACATTAACATAACCCCCTTCCTGAATCTGTTGCCAAATGGCATCCGAGACACTGACTACTTGCGGAATATCGTGAAATGCAATGCCGGATTGTTTTTCAAGTTCACTCTCGCTTAGGTGCTTGGAGCACT